GCTGAGATCAACAGAATAATGAGTGGGAAAAAAGCTGCTTCTCACATCAAGCCATCCACACTTACGCAATGCATGGTATTCTTCAGAGATGCCACACAGCATGGTTTTGCAAAATAAAAAAATGCCCACCATTACAAGTCTCTATATGAAACAACTTTCCTTTGTGGTGTCTGCTTTTTTTTTTATGCAGAGCATTCCTCTACATGACACTGTATTAGTATGAAAGTAAATGGCAGTGCATAAATACCATGATGAGTGTGTCCCATAAATATATCATTTCATTCCATCTGTGAGCATCAGACAACATCCCATACATGTTACATTTTGGATAATGGCTTTTCATGTTCACACCTAGAAGGGCCGAATCTGGTAAGGTGGTAGGTGATACAAATTCCAGTGCCCTTAAGGTCTAAATCCACCAGTAACTGTATGAAGTGTGACCTACAGCAGCTCTTCGGGTGTGAGGTGTGATCTTCCATGTGGGGTGGTGTCTTACACTACGCTGTAGCAACAATACTGCATGATGACCTGATAGGCCTCCCCCCCCACCTACCACCATTCTCCATCCTTTAGCCTTTTTCATTTTTTGTCTGGGGTAAAAGCTTTAATATCTATTTCACTGGTCCCAATAATGATTAATGTAGGTGCCTTAAAATATAAAAAATAGAATGTGAGCTTGACCATGGGGGGGGCCAGTCACCCCCCCTGCATCCATCACTGCATGGATATTGGTGTGTATAAAGGAACGTTGCTCTATTAGCAGCAGTAGCTGCCATGATGCAATGCTGAGGTTTTTCTCAATCATCAGTAGTAAGGAGAGTGCAGTTAACTGGCTCCATGAACAGGGCATTTTGCAAGATCAGGTTAAAAAATGCTTGGGACAATGCCTGAGCCAAGGCACCTCATTAAGGCCTGGTGGCATGGCCTCAACCCCATGAACAGGTTTGAGGCATTCATTTGGGACATCAAGTCTACATTCATCATTAATCTAATGTGAAACCTGACAACAGTCAAATGACAAAATTAGCCCACCTAAGTGGTTTTGTATAATAAAATCTTGTTTAAAAAAAGGGTGTATTTTATACCATGCAAATCGTGGTCACACTTCACATCCAAAGTGCTGTGGTAGGTCACAGACCACAGGTAGATCACACCTCATATGATTACCAATCCGCCCCCTCACCCGTAAGCCACACCCTCACCCTTAATCAAAATTGTTTAGATCTATGCCATTCGTGAGGAAAATGCACACTGTTCACTTCAATTTAGAGACTAACTGTTAAACATTGGGGTAATGTGGTTGAAAAAGGCTGTTAGGACTTCTGATTACGTTGAAATATCTTAACGTGGAGCCGGACTTAAAACTATAGCATGGTCAGAATTTGTATCACTTACCCTAAGGTGCAAAAGCGAAGTTATGAATGCGCCCAGCTGTGTTATAATTTTAGGGAGTCAAAAATTATCCTATATAGCCTCGTTTTCCGCCTGTACAATAATTTACTATCATTGGGATTCTATTGTGAACTGCAAATGATATCGTAGCATATTCAACAAGGCAAATGCAAGGTGAGATAATACCTCCGAAAGAAAAAGTAACGTCTCTGGAGTCAATGTTGAAGGAGAAATGAATTCATTCGCTGAATACTATGATGGAATTGTGTGTGAAACTAAAGCAAAGGCCCAATTGCAGGACAAGTTAGACATGCACGCAGCCATCCCTACGTTAGCCATGGCCGCCCAACGCTCACGAGCCTGAAATGAGAACTCTACGAATATGGGAACTTCTTTCATAAGCTTGGATAATAGTTTCAATTTTTACGCAATCTCAAAGAGAGATTTCGGCATCTTCAGGAAAAAGAATACGTTCCGATTTTGCCTTTTTTATACACATATAGACGAGCTGCTTCTCGACTTACCTCTCAGACGTTTACGTCACAGGAGACGTAGGTAGTATGTGGTTGCTTTTCACACATGGCGCGGGAGTTGGGTCTGTGCGCTCCGTCGCCGGTTGCTGCGGCCGTGTGATCTTCAGTTAGGCTGGGACTTTTACAGCTTGGTCAAAGTCTGAACTCTTACACTTGGATGACATTTTCCAATTTTGTGTTCTAGGGCTGAGGAACATCAGAATTCAATACAGGCCCAGTAATACCAGAAGTCATGGGTTGCAAAATGGGTTAACTTTGAGCATGTCACAATAGGCTGAGTTCATGCTTGTGTTGTACAGCAGGCTGGACGCTGTAATTGCATGCTGTACTGAAAAATCCTATCCAGCTGCTTCACTTCAATCCTTTAATGCATCAAGAAATAAGCCGTAAAGTTGCTGGATGCAGCATATTGTCTGGCAAAAATATTGGTGGTGTACATCATGCTGGATATAATAGAATCATTAGTGTTTTCGCATGATGCAGTAGAACATGCAGTACAGCACATACAGTGCTGTATCTGCTGGATGCAGCATGAAGTTTTTCAATTTATTAGTTGACATGATGTGCACTGCATTGAGCATCCAGCATACTTTACAAATGCAGTACAGCAGGAGCATGAACTTTGCCTCACTTGTAGATGTAGGCCTATAAAATGTGCCTTTCAAAAATTTTTCATGCTTTTTGTAGGGTTAGTCTTAGTTCATACTCCTGCTGTACTGCATTGTATGACATGCTGGATGTTCAATGCAGTGCACAGCAGGAATTCATTAATGGACAGCAAAATTACATGTTGTGCAGCACAAACTTTTTGCTAAAATGACATCCCAGTTTAAAATCCCAGCTGGAAACAGCTATAATTTCCAGCTGCACTCCAGCTGTAAATTCTGACCCATTCCAACTGGGTAACAGCTGGCAAGTAGTAATCTCCAGATTTGTTCCTAATTGCTATATCACTAACTGAATGATAATCTTTTTGTTGACTATTTTTGTCAGAGGCCCATCTACAGGGACAGCTGATTTTCAACTGTAAATTTAGCTACATTCCAGTTGTAGGGTCCTCTTTATAAAATTCCAACTGGGAAATGTCCAGCTGGAAACAGCTATTAAAACCAGCCACATTCCAGTTGGAAAATTCCAGCTAAGAAACAACTGGTTACTACTATATTCCAGCTCTTTGCCAGCTGGAAATGGTCTGAATTTACAGATTTGGCCCAGCTGGAGCATTCCATTTGGAGAGAGGTCTTGCAACTCCCATCTGACTCTTGAATTGGAGGTGCTATCCTCATCAAATGTCAAGGATGGCAGCTTGAGTCAGATGACAATCTCTAAAAAGTCTACACTCTTTTCATGTGGAAAATTTCTCCCCATTTAGAACACTTTCATTGAGTGCAGGTAGCAGCCTTGGAAAACCTTGCAAATCTGCAAGTGAAGTTAGTGAGGTTTGTGTGTTGTTTTAAAAATATGACTGGAGGGAATGGGAAAAAATTAATGAACCTAATATAAACTGCATTCTCTTTGCTTTGGAGATGAGACTCATGCAGTTATGTGATAATTTTTTGGATGTATCTTGATAGTTCATGCTCTGCTTATATCCAGAACACCTCCCACCCCCTCTGCCTTGCTAGGTTTTTTGTGACTCTGAAAGAGATACCCCTTTTCAGATAGTATGCAATAATTAGGCGTTCTTACTGCTTGGAACAAAGATATGTATGAAAAAAAAAAGCTTGTGTAGGAGTGAGAAGCAAGCACACCATATCTGTGTTGACATTCAAATCATATGCTATTAGGCTGCTAGCTCTTTTGCTCAGAGGGCCAAGTAACATGGACATGAAGGGAATAATAGCTATACTGCCCTGTTTAAATTTGATCTTGGGGTAGACCTAGCTCTCAAAACTCTCATAAGGTAATCCAAGTTAGTCAAGCCCTGATCAGATTGAACAAGTAGGTCTAGATGAGTTCATTCAATTCATTCATTCAAACCAAATACCAGATACATTAAACAGTGTGGCATCTTGATGACTGATGTTAAAATAATTATCACTAGGTGGTGAAATAGGCATATGATCATAAGTGTACCATGAATAGAAATAGTGTGGGAATGTGAACTCTGGGATGCTATTCTCATGCATTTCTGGATTTTTTCCTTCTTTTTTTCACTTATCTTGAAAATTGGATGGCACATACCACCCTGGACCCCCCAATGCTTTGCTGCTGCATATGATGTCTTAGTTTAAGTATGTAGATGCATGAGCATAAGGAGAGACTAATTGGTCCATTTCAGTGGAGGCAATGCAGTTAACTGAGTGCTTAATCTTTTCGAGGATAAACATTTTACAATTTTCTTCTGCATATAATATATAATATATAACTGATTCAGTTTCAATCTACAGGTAGCATTCTTCACTATTCCTCTCATGACTTCCCATAGTACCAACGTTGAGTTGCATTCTGTTTTCTCAGACATGTTCTTGGTATTGAATAGATATCTCTCTAATCCCTATTGTTTTTGGCAACTTAGGTCTGCTTTTTTCTTGTGCTCCAGCTTTGCAACCCTTTCTTGTGTCATCTGCCTATCACCTCAATAGTAGTGATGAGGTTATCTAATTATGGCTGTACTGTATCCAGCTATGCTTATCCTTTGTATGAATTGCTGATACTTTATGGTGGACCCCACTTTGTTCTACCTTGCTGCCCATGCAATAATACACTTTTGTGATTTCAAAAAACAGACAGCCTTTAGTTCTGTTGCTCCAACTATTTCTCATCCTTCTGAAATATCCTAAACATCATTAAGTCTAGGCCTTCTTAATATAACCAGCTTCTTTAAATTTAAGGCCTAACTACTTGAGGTATTTGAACAGAGAACATTCATCCTAATTTAAATTAGAGTCAAGCATTATTGGAAAGTGTTTGACCCTGCAGGTTATTAAGAGACTCTGAATATGTATAATTTCTTGATCACAGGTGGAAGAGAAAGGAGGAGGACCAAAATATGTGCTGTACAGCCTTGCTAGACCAGGCTTATATTATTTTTTAGGTCTATCATGTTCCTCCTACCAACTTTCATGAGACCGATTGTCCTATTTCTCAAAGGATTCAACCATCATCAAGGTCATTTAAGAAGGCCTTATTTTGAACTTCAGCCTGCTTGAGGCTGTGAGTGGTGTTTTTGGATAAGAAGTGTTACACAACTTTTAATGGGTGTGCATGGTCTATGGGGTCTTTTGGAAACTGCTGGGAAGCCTGTCCCTCTTGAGACTCTTGAAAACAAGATCCTGGCAATTGGTATCCTTTCCTGAAGATAGACATAGACATTAGTCAAAGACCAAGTTCATACTTGTGCCGTACAAAATGCTGCATGTTCCATGCAACTGCATCCTGAACTGAAAATTTAAATCCAGCATGTCTAGCTGCTGCATTGCAATTGTGAAATGCATTAATAAACATGCAGTATGACAGCTGGATGCCACATGTTGGTCTGGCAAAAAATGTATGGCAAAAATGAGTATGAAATCAGGTCTTATTCATCGAAGAAGCTCACTCAACTCACTTTCCATATATATGGAAAGAGAGTTGAGTGAGAGTTGAGTGATATAGACTTTGCTATAAAGAGAGTTTCCACTCTCTTTATAGCAAAGTCTTTGTGTTAGGGACAACATTGAGGCAGTGTTGTCTGATTTTTAGTTCTAAGGGGTGGTGCATGAGGTGGTAGTTTTGATGATGTTGTGCATATACATTTAGAATAAATATATTTATGATTGCCATAATTCAGTTTGAAAAAGCAGACAGATGAGAACCCAACTGAATTTTTAAATCTAATATTTGGATATAAGGGTTTTTAACCTTTATTCATTTTTCACTTGGCATGGACACTCATGCATAAGGAACATCTCATACACAAGTGTCTGAGTCAAGTGTAAAATGTTGAAATGATATTTAACTCATTTCAACTCAAGAAAACTAAATAGATAATTAAACAAATGGTATGAATGAAAATTTTAAAATGTGAACAGCATTTCCAAATGATTAAATAGCAGTGTATGATATTAAGAAATTGTCATCCACTTTCTGTAGATGTGGATAAAGTGACTGAAAGAGTAAATGAATTGTTAAGGAAGCTGAATCCAAGAGTGCTCTATCATGGTTACCTCAAAAATTATACTGCATTTCTGGTATCCATGCTATTTTTTTCTTCCTCTATTTCATCATAAGAGTGGATTTTAACTTTCAGGAATTCACCTCTTTGCACCCATTAACCCTTTAACTCCAAAGTTTCCTAAGTTTCCACAGAGCTATCATGAGTATATTTGGGTGTGGGATTTAAAGGGTTAACAGAATAAAGATGAAATATATATATTTTTTTCCATCACTTATTCTCTTTGAAAACATTTTGATAGCTATGAAAAAATTTTCATTTTTGCATTATTGTGTGCTTTTAAAACTTTCCATTTTGTAGGCTCAATAAGTTCTTATAAATATTTCCTGTGCTTTCTTGGAAGCTGAAAATGATCATTTTCCCCTAGAATGCTCAGTTATTTAGTTCAGGAATTGTTTAGTATGAACTATTGATTCTAAGCCTAGAACTTTGCTTTTGACTTAATTTGAAATATTCCTTAGCTATGGTCAGATGTGTCAATATGGTTGCATCAGGCAGTGAAAGGGTTTAGGGATCAATCTGGACAGCCTCTCCCCAATGGACACCTCCTTGGTCTTTTTCATCGCATCTGCAAACTCCTGTTTTATAAAATCAAGCCTGTCTTTGTCTTTGATGGTGGCATTCCTATCTACAAGAGGCAGACAATGGTATGAGTAAGGAAAATGTTGATCACATGGTGTGTTTGATTTTGCTAATTCTAGTAAGCTTAGCCCACAATGTTCTTTACTGTAGCAAAGCTGGATTTGCTTTCATGGGAGGTGGATAAGAGCTCTTCTGATATGTATTTTGTCCACTCATTGGGAAAAGATTAGCTTTTGACCATGTGAAGGGTATCTGTAATATTGTGTTGCTTTGCTTTTGCAGGCAAATAGAAAGCAGAAGAAAGACTCAGCTGCATCTGATGCTAGGAAACTTTCCCACCATATTTTGAAGAACTATCTGCAGCAGAATGTGATTGGAAAGGTTCTGGGCAAGCAGCCAAGTGCTGTTCCTTCAAGTGCATCTCATGATGATGATGTTTTTCACCTGGCCCCGCTGGGACCAGATGCTGAAAAGTAAGCTGAGTCTTGATTTTAAATGAAAATTTTGGGAAAATATATTTATTGCTGTTGAGATTGCAATTGCTTGGATTTATATTGTATGCACATTACTCACTTTCATTTATGTGCAGTTATGGAAGTCATTTCATAATACAGGGAAATGGAGAGCGATGGGGAAGCTGAAGAGTATGGTGGAGACTTGGAAATGATGTCGGAATCATCTCATTTTCAAAGCAACATTCATGATGTTGATGTGATGAGTGAAGAGTTTGCAGCTCTCCCATCGCACATCCAGCATGAAGTACTCCTGGAATTGAAAGATACTCGTAAACAAAGCTCTTGGAATAAACTTCATCAAATGCCAAAGGTTTGTGATGCATATCTGATGGCTATCAAGTTAATGCTTATACTGCTGGAACTCCTTGAATTACCTTTTGGGTGAAAAAATTGTGCAAATATTGTACAAAAATACACAGCAGCTTTCTTTCTTCCATTAACTCTTTCATTAAAAAAAAATATATATTTCTGATATTTTGAATTCTTTTTTTTATCGCTAAAAGATTGCTATTGCAATACTGACATTGTCAGATGTATCTCACCACATCCTGGGCTTTTAGAAGATTGCACAACCAGATGCAATTTATGTTGTTAGTCTTAAATGACTATGATTATGTGGAGAGGCCTGAATCTTCATCGTAAAGGTGGTGAATACATTTCAAGCTGACATGCATCTCTCTCTGCAGAAAGATGCTTAAGTTGGCAACTTGAATGTTGCTAAAGCAACATTTGTTTTATACTTTCTGTGAGATTTTGACAGATAACTTATAGATGTTCATCACGTTATCTATGAACTATGAAATGACATCATTGCCTGCAAGATCTGGTTTTTTTTTCCAGAAAATATATGTTCTTGGATATTGTTCTCATATGAACACAGGGATATCTCTATTCAGGTATAATATTAGGGGTACTGGAAAGTAATGTCATTTTTTTGTAAACCAAATGTAAATGTTATTTATGGTGTGGTTTTGTTTGCTTTCAAATTTATTAATCTAAAGAAATGTTATTATTATATATTTTTTTATAACAAAATTTAAAAAATTTTTCAGCAAAAACATCTGACCACATTCCCAAAGTGATCCATATACGACATTGTCTGCTCTGAGTTTCGTAAGGGAAGTAAGATAACGGAGGCCACCGTTAACATTTGTGGTGTTTATGGAGATGTATTGGATGTTTGCAAATGCCAGTGTTGGTTCAGTAAATTCCATTCTGGCAAATTGATCTCTTGGATGGCTATCGTTCGGGAAGACCGGTAGAACTGGACAACAATCTCCTGAGGTTGGCAGTCGAGTCAAGTTTTTCTGCCAATGGTTTGATGGCAGTCTAACTCGACCTCCAACCTCAGGAGATCGTTGTCCAGCTCTACTGGTCTTCCTGAACGATGGTCATCCAAGAGATCAACATCGCCCGACTGGAATTTACTGAACCAACGCTGGCATTTGTGAACATCCAATACATCTCCATTAACACCACAAATGTTTTTGGTGGCCTCCAGTTGCCTTTCCTTATGAAACTCATGGAGCAGACATTTTTGTTGAAAAAAAAAAAAAAAATTTTTGCAAAAATATATGAATGTATGAAAAATAATGGTTCTTTAGATAAATAAATGAAATTCATTTGAAAACAAATGAAAACACATAATGAATAATGTTTATATTTGGATTTAAAAAAAAACGACATGACTTTCCAGTACCCCTAATACAAGTTATGTTACTTATTTCTGATTTTATGTCTACTTTCCTTTGCATCTTGATAATGAATTTCCTCTCCAAATTTGAACCAAAAACCAAGGTTAAATAATATTTCATAAGCTATTGAGCTGGAAATTTTGCTTCAAACTGAAATTTCATTTTCCAATGCAATTTAACCCTAGTAAAATGGCAAGGCATCCCTCAAAAATTAATAAAAGAATTCAATTAATGGATTCAAATGGTTTGCTCCATAGAAAATAGATTTGTGGTTTGGTTGTTGCAGAGTTATCAAAAATTTAATTGGGAGGTATCTGAAGAGGATTTTACTTTATTAATGTAGCATTTGAACTAAAGCAGCAAGTTTGTTTTCTGGTTTATTAATTTAATTGGTTCTTTTTACATTTCATGATAACCAGGAAGTAGAAGATAGGATTTACATTGGACACTCTTGCTTTTCAGATGAAATATGACAATGTCATATTTATACCCACTTCATTGCTCCCTAGTTATTGTCAGCATGAAATGTCAGCCACCCTGGGATTGAATTATCAATATTGTTTCTTGGTTCTTCCCAATCAAAACTTAATCTAGCATTTATCTGACTTTTTGATCAGGAGGCATCTTTCAGCCAATGCAATAGAGAAGCTAGAATAGAAACTGCAACTGAAGAAGAACTGATGCTTTGAAATCTTCTTGTCTTATAGTCTTCCATGGTAATTTGGCTTTCCTCTGTCTATCCATGTCTTGCATAATTTTCTGGTATATGCATTCAGAAGGTAGGTTTACTTTCATGTATCCTTACCTAATGGCAATTGGTGTTTGTAGGAATCTGGCAACTTTTCATCATTTCAAATGGATCGTTTGCTGAGAAGGCGAGCTCTTCAAGCAAAATTGGAGAAGATTGAGTCAGAAATGGGGTCTTCTCAGTTGCAAGAAGCAGCAGAGGGTCTCACTCCTATTGACCTGGACAGTGAGGGCCAAAGGATTGTGAGTGAAGACACTCTTAGATTTGTTTTGAAAAAGTTGACCCAAAGTGAAAAGGCAAAAAAACCTCAGAGTGAGCATGTCAGTCTTTCAAATGAAACAGTTGATTACAGTACCTCTTCCATCATAAAGAAGAGGCTCACCAAGGATATGAAGTCAGAAGTAGCTCAGGCACCGAGTGACAGCGGTTGTGATGATGACCCAGAAGATTACAGCCTTGATAACAATGTATCACGAACTGAAAACTTTTCTGGGGAACAGACAGACCTTTCACAAGAAGAGATATACTTGTTGATACAACAGAATGCACCGGTGGCACTGGGATTAGATAGACCTATTTTAAGCAAAAAAGATGAATTCCATAAACCTACTCAGGATAGGGTCTCAAGAAATGACATAAAACTTGTTACTTTGACTACTACAGAGGACAAGGACATTGGCAAAGAGTTTTTTGCTGTTCAAGGACAAACACCCTCTGAGCCAACATTGAAAAAAGCCTATTCAACAAAATTGAGTGATGAGAGTGGTAGCACATCTTGGACATCCAAGCTAGTTGAGACACCATCAAAAGTGGAACTTCCAAGTGATTCAAAACAAGAACATTTTATAACAGTTGAAATCACATCTTTGAAAACACATTCAGCAGAGGAGGATATTTTTGCAGATGTTTTCAAGGAAGCACAGAGAGATGATATAATTAAACTTGAGAGCATCTTACAGGGGTTTAAGAAAGAAATACAAACTAGTAGAAAAACAGAATCACTTGTGAAAGAAACTGAAACAAAGGAAAAGGAAGCTTCTTCATTTGCTTTTCACAAGAGCGAGTCAAGGTTTAATGAGAGGAGTGACTTGCACAGCTCTTTATCCACATTGGAGAAAGATGAAGGAGAAAGTTTGCCAGTGATGAGACATTTTCAAAGTGCTGAGAATATGGGTGCAATCTCTATTAACAAGACTGTCAGTGAAGAGGATGGAAACTGTTTCATGATTGTATCAAATAGATCATGCTCTGATATGGAAAAGGATATCCATGAAGCATCTGCATCTCAAAGTCTTGGTGCTGGTTTCCAACAACTGTCATCTTCAATTAATTCTACAAATGAAACTACTTCTGAGGAGGAGTGTGGAAAATCAAAAGTATTGAGAGCAGTTGCTCCCAACTTTGTAGCAACAAGTAAAGATGTCAAAAATATGGAGAACAACAAGGAGGAAAGTGAAAACAATCTGAGGAATATGCCTGAAGAAGATCAGAACCTTCTTGAAGAATATAGTAAGCAATTGGAGATAGAAAGGAGAAATTTAGAAAAGCAGAGAGGTCGCCAAGAGCGTCTGGCTACCAGCCTCAGTGATCAGATGTACTTGGAAGCACAGGTATAGCAGTGTCTGCCTCAACTGTATTCTTCTCAAAACTTTATTTATTTGGTCTGTTTCATTTTCATTTATTTTACCTTGTTAAGGAGTTGCTGCAACTTTTTGGCCTCCCATATGTCACATCACCAATGGAAGCAGAAGCTCAGTGTGCCTTCCTTGACATACTCAACCTCACACAAGGAACCATCACAGATGATAGTGATATCTGGTTGTTTGGTGGACAGCGTGTGTATAGAAATTTCTTCAATCAAACTAAGCATGTGGAATTTTATCATGCTGAGAATATATTCAAGTATTTTCGTGAGTTGTATGCTTTCTCGTAAGGGATTGTAAATTGTATGTATAATAATCTCATTTTATGTGTTTTTTTTCAGAGCTGACAAGGGAGAAGATGATAAATTTGGCATTGCTCTGTGGGAGTGACTATACAGATGGCATCAGGGGAGTAGGACCAGTAACAGCCATGGAAATTTTGTTGGAATTCCCTGGTGATGGTGTTGAATGTCTGGAGACTTTTCAGCAGTGGTGGACAGAAGCTCGTACTAAGGCCACATTTGTAGAAGAAACTCCTGTCAAGAAGAAACTGCTGGAGCTTGAAATAAGCAAAGGTAAGGAAGTTTCAGCAAATTGAACTCAGAGCTTTGTCTGAAATTTTGTCTAGAAAAATATAGTCTAACTTTCATGTCTCTGTGCCATTAGTTTCTTATAAACAGATGCAATGGGACCTAAGGACAGGAAATTTCCATTCACAGGTATTTAATTAGAATGTGGCAAGTTCTATCTATTTTTTCAGGTTTTCCTCACCATGGGATTGTTGAAGCTTATCTAAAACCAGAAGTTGATGAATCATCTGAGGAATTTTCATGGTCATCTCCTGACATTGATGGGTTGCGAGAATTTGCCAGAAAGAAAATGGGGTGGTCCAAGAGTCGCACAGATGAAGTTCTTGCTCCAGTTATTAAGAGGATGAATCTGAAGGAGGTATGTTATTTACTTCCAACAGATGCTTCCTTGACTATCATAGAGTTCTACTTATCTGCATATTTATTTATTGTTATTTTTTTTTCAGATGCAGAGCAGGATTGATTCATACTTTCAAGTTAAACTGCCAGAAGAAGTGAAGCTACCCAGTAAAAGGCTGACAAATATTTTGAAGCGAGCTAAAGGAGGAGAGAATATAGCAACTCTGGTTCAGAATGTAAAGACTAAATCAAAAAAAAGTATAGGTAGAGGGCGAGGAAAGAGGTCTTGCAAGGAGGATGTTGATGATGATGACATACTGGAAGAGGAGACATTGGTATCAGAAATAGAGGGAGAATCCCCAGTAGCATCACAACCATCCACCTCTTGTGGGACCTCTTCAAAAATGAAATTGCAGGGGCTTTCAGGGAAAGCTAGTGGGTTAGTTGACCTCAGGGCATTGGCAAAGGAACACGCTAAGCAGAGAGCTATTGAGATCTTCAGAAAATCTCAAGGAATGCCTAGGAAACAACCAAAACGTAAGGTTTCTGTAAAGGTTCAAAATTATAAACTTTCTGAAAGCAGTTCAGATTATGATGATGCTGAATGAATGTATGTCTCTACCTGATTTCACTGATTATTTGATTAAATTACTATTTGATTAAAGAGAGTATTTTGACATATTGCATTGAGTATTGGTATTTTGAAGGAAGCTACTCTAGTAGAGAGTTTTCAAAATTAGCTAGCATTGTGGAACCTCATATGCAGAATCATGTCCCTGGGAAGACCCATTGGGTTTCAGAAGGTGGCTTCTACTCCAGGGATAACCACAATATCTTAACCCTTATCCAGGCAAGGTATTTTTGCGACACAAATGGACAAGGCCAAACATTTTTAGAATTTTTTTCTTAAAAGCAAATCCAAACTTTAAAAATTCGTTTTTGAATCTATGGATGACTGTCTATGAAACCCATATCAAATTTGAAGAATATTTTGAAAAAATTGCAGAGAGTAATGAAATGAAATATACCATGGGGGGGGGGGTTCCAATGGACCCCCCTTGCCCGAATAAGGGTTAACGAGTAGTGTATTGACTGATTTATTCATTTGCCTCTTTTTGGATGGTAGCAAGGGAATGAATTCAATTGAAAAAAAAAAATTATTTTGTACTTTGGCCTATCCTGCTTAGAGGATGGTCTTGACATTCTGTATAATGTCTAACAGGGATGTCTTCATGGTTGATCAGGAAGTCCTTGAGGTTCACTTTTCCTATATGCTAGGAAATATTAAAAAAAATATTTCCATCAGTCCATTCTCTAAGTCAATAGTTTATATTAAAATGCCAAGACTCTGTCATATGCAGAATTCTGAGTAAATGATATAGTGCATGCTTTTTCAGGCACCCTAAAGGTTTATGAACTTTGAAGACATTCTATTGAGTATGTAGGTTTTTTTTTGTTGTCAATTTTGAGTGGTTTATTTTTATAATTGCATATACATTACAAAGAATTTCAGTGATCAGGGTAGGGTATAGTGTTTGGAAACTTTTGAGCCTTACTATAATTCATAAAACTGAATTTAGCTCTACTCAACATCATTGCCTCACTGGTCAAAACCTGTTGCTTAGTCAGAGCATAATATACCTAGAATGAAACTGGTATGGTTGGGTTTGTCCTGTTTCATGGAAATGTGTAATTCACCACAGTGCAGAGGTACCTCTGCTCTGTGGTGAATAATTACTTCTGCAGTCCTAGTATGAGATCTTTTAATGACATGAAAAGCATCAGTTGGGCTTTAGTTTGCATAGTGTAGTGTTTTCTGGTGGTGAATGATGAAGGGAGTACTTTTACATGAACTCATACACTTGTGAGATGGGAACTGGAGTTGACTCAAATTATGAGAAGTCCCATTGATATATTCTCTGAATCTTATTTCCTTCATGAAATGTCATAACATATCTGGACCATTTTTCAGAATTCTTGTTACTTAGTGAGAGGTTCATAGGCTCTCCTCAGCTTGAACCCATGGAGCAGTTGAGATAACCTCCTGGTTATTCTATTATTTGCACAAGCCTTGATAAAATTACTGCAACAGTTGTACTAGTTGGGCCATTCCTTTTCTGCTTTTGTAGAAAATTGAACAATTTTGCAACTTTAGCCAGCCTTTCTCAGGATTCTTGCTTTAAGATTTTCAATCATAGTCATGCTTAGTGGTCCCCTACATTACTATTGTATTATATTTTCTGCTGCATAAGTTGGAAACTTTTCCTTGCTTTCTCCACCTGTCATGCATAAGTACTGAATACTGCGATCATTATATGGCAATTAGTTAGCAGGTTAGTGTACTGGCAAATAGTTGGAAAATTCTTAGAATTAATATTTTTATGCTTTCAATCTTGATTTAAAAACAGGTTAATTTCCCAGTTGGTATCCTAAAAGTATATAATTTGGAGGAGTGGAAGTGGACCTGTATACATTTTTTTTTTTCTGGTTATTCACCAAGTGCTTTGGAGTGACTTTTAGAGGCATCATAAATAAAATGATGAAATATACTGAATTCTTTGGGCATTTCTTTTTACAGGTTTGTTGTCTCCACTCTATTTAACCAGTTTTTTTCAGCAATATGGATCAAGGAACTGGCTCAGGAACTTCCAGTGGAAGTGGAGTGGCAGGGAATCAGAAATTTTGTTTGCGGTGGAATGATTATTCATCCAGTATGGTCACCTCTTTTCGACATTTGAGAGAGGAAAGGAGCTTTACAGATGTGACTATATCTGTGGATGGAGAGTCATTGAAGGCCCACAAGATGGTCCTCTCTGCTTGTTCCCCATACTTCAAGAAGTTACTTGAGGTAATGTTCCATAGTATTACTGAAGAATGATTGATATAGAATCTTCAGCTTCTATAGAAAAACTTAAGTAAAATACCTTGTACTCAGTAGTTGCAAATGTAACCATTTTGTCCGAAAAAGATTTAAAAAATGATTTAGTATATCTTTGTTGATTGAGTTTTATCAGGTTTTCTGTTACTATTTGATATCTTGCCACTTTGCTGGATAATCTGATCTTACTGGATGGAGGGTCAAGTATCTGACATATAGGAAACAAGGATAACTGATCTCATTTGGTGATAATAAAAAAAGGAAGATGGGAGTTGGCAATTGAGGTATGACCATGGAATCTTTAACAGTGAGGATTTTACTGACCTTGTCACAATGAGGCATTATTTGAAGGCTTGCTGTATATGTTCCTTGTAAATTTCAAGACTTGAGGATTGCAAAGAATAGGTATGACTTAAAAGAAAAAAAGGATAAAGCATAATGACTAGGTCAATAAAATGCTCACTTTTAAGGATTCCATAGGGAGAGGTGGTCATAAACTTCCTGCCAACTCCCATCTCACTTCTTTTTCTCACCAGACAAGATCAGTTGTTCCCATGCTTACCTCCTATCTGTCAGATACTTGACCCTCTATCCACTAAGATTGGAGATTTTTCAGCAATGTGGTCCAATACCAGATAGCGATAAGAAATTAGTACAACATAAAGACACACTGCACTTTGCTACAAGATCAATATCATTCTAAACACAAATTCCTATAAATTACCTGATTAGGTTCCCATCAAATATTACATTAAATCAGCTGGATCTAGTTTCCTATGTCTTCATGGGAAAGTTCCTATCAAGCACCAAATCATGTGTATGTGGTTCACCTTTCCATAGAATCCTGATTTTATAGAAATATATTTGAGTGAATCATTGGTAGATTGTGTAAACACTGAGATTTCACATTATTTAGCATGCAACAGTGCAGTGGTGGTTTAATTCATTCAGAAATGAAAGATTTCCAAGTGTTTTTCAGCAAGTCTAATGAGTTGTTATTCTGCAGAACATTGCTCTATATGTTTGTGAATCTAGATAAATTCAAATGCTTTCTGGGTATGGCTTCCCAGTTATGGCACTGACCAAATCAGGGTATATGAATTCTTATATCTTAGTAAAAGTATTCACATTTCCTAGCATTTCCCATGCACTGGTTTGACTAAAAATTAAGGTGCATTTTGCAGATTGCATTGTTTGCTAATGACTGAATGATTAACTTGCATATGAATTTAAAAGTTGTACATTCATCATGAGCATGAACAGGATGTTTGGAAAGTCACTCTTTTAATTTATGATAACTTTTGTCATTTTTAGACTATAACAATGCTTATTTTTTGCCAAAAAAGAATTCATTTAGGTTTTATGATTTTGTTGTTTTGTATATTGTGGGACTGAAATACATTCATGGGACTAAAATTGAATCTTTGATACTATGTGCATATAACTGCACAGTATGAGGTGTGGAGGTCCAATATCCAAAGCTGCTTTGAAGCCATTCTTCCACCACCACCTCTGGACCAGAATGTGAGACTTCCTCATATTGTGCAGCTACTTGCACACAATGTCAAAAATATGATTTTGATGCCAGAGAGGGTTACCATAAACAAGCAAACTAATAAATGAAATCATGAAACCTATAGGAAATTTGTTTCTTTTGGCAAAAAAGCCATCATTCTAGTCCGAAAATTTTAAAAAATTATTGCCACTTAAAAATACTTTCTAAACACCCTGTATTTAGAGGTAGGAATTTCAACTAATAGCCATGTATGGTTGAAATCCTTTCACAAATTTCATCTCCAATGGGAATCACTGTTTCACCAGATGCCTGTATAAGGACTTTTGTGTAGTTGTAGAATTTTGCTTCTATCCAGTATAATAGCTTGTATCAAGTGAAATGTATGATTGGTGTTAAGCTTGATTATCTGTTACAGGTAGGCCTACTGTGCCATGATTGAACCAATAGGCATTGAATCATTGTCTTGTGTTTTCCAGGAGACCCCATCAAAGCATCCCATTATCATTTTGAAGGATATCAAGATGAAAGAAATGGAAGCTATCCTTGATTTCATATACACAGGAGAAGTGAACATAGCTCAAGAGGACCTTCAGAGTTTTCTCAAAGTTGCCATGAGGTTGAAGGTGAAAGGCTTAGCAGAAGGAAACATTCCTGCCGGACAGATAGGACCTATAGGCAACTCTGGAGCTTCTGTGGTTGGTGAAACTTCATCTGGCAAAGGTGTAAAAAATGAGCAGTCTGTTGCTGCAGCTACCTCCACAAGTTAAGGAATGACCTGCCACGTGATCTTATGAACATCTGCCAACCTTACATTCCTAGCACCAGTGATTCCATGGGGATTCTGATCCAACATCATTCACATCCCCTCCATACTGGCATTTGAAGATTGCTGGTGGGCTTACTGTTCACTTACACTTTTGCATTTTTCCCCAGTTGAGTCTCTTGCATGGTGTCTTTAGTATGATGAATGATGAAATTTTCCATGATTTCTTGACCTTGATGAGGCAATGTGCTAGTATGCATCTTGTTTTTCTTTTCAGAGACTGGAGGAATCTCAGTCATTCTTAAGTATAGGCTGTGTGGCATGGTGTTACCTTAAATTTTCTCATGTGTGGTACATGTGTTGTCATTCTCAAAATTGGAAAAATGCTATCATCCCTGATAATTTTGATAATTTTCTGGTTTTCAGTTGTCTCTTTTTTTTCTCACTTGGCTGCATTGGGAGGAAATGTTTGCCAGTTTTACTATCCATGAGTGCTCATGTTACTCTATTGTTTTGATTTTTCAGCACAAATTCTGCATACTGCAAACCTCTTCATTCATTTTTAGGTGAACCCTGTGAATCAAGGGACCATCTGTTTGGTAGGCAAAGTGGGTTTAATCCATTGTTTTCTTCCCCTCTCCCCATTTAACTGTCAGAGTTTCCTGCTGTAACCCTTTCTCCCCAAGAATGGGATACATTTGTCATTACCATCAGAATTTCGTTTTGAGCATAAATTATGAGAATGATTAGATTCAGACTTTCCCCCTTTATAATAAAAAAAATCCACATTACATGATTTTTGTGACTACATTCTCTGTTCTGCAGAGGTTGTCACAAATCTTTTATAATTCCAGTACCAGTGGATTGGTTGCATTGTGTTTGCAGCAACTTGATTCATTCATTGAGGGCTGCAAATGTTCAGAGACTTGAATATCACAGTATGGATTCTTAGTTGTGAAATGCTTCTTCAAGAAGTCTGATCTATCTGAACCATCTGTGCCTGTGGTACACTTTTCATTTTTGGACATGCTGGTATTGCATGTATTCAGTTGGTGCCTTCAGAGTTCTTTTCTGGCATTCTAGTCTTGGAGGTAAGTAGGATAAGTACCTTTTCTTTCCATATTTGGCACCACATTCTCAACCAAGTTTTGATACTTATTAAATCAAAAAGATGAGAGCTGATTCTCATCTTGCTTATGAATCCCCTTGGAGGATCTGTTGCTAGGAAGTGACTGAAAAACAAGCATCCATAACTTTGTCTACCTGCTCTTGATCAAGTTTTATGATTGGTCGCATATGTATGGCTTGAAAATAAAATGGGCCTTTCATAATTCGTTTAACTTCCTTTTCTCTTTACTTTGATTCATGTCATTTGAGCAGCATCATTTTTCTCAGAAATCTGATGTGGGTGCATCACCACCTGACAATGCTGTGTTTGTAGCATATTCTGGAAAAGTATCTTTTTTCTTCCTAAGTGAGCTGATCTACATTTCAAATTAGTCCATTTTCAGAATGCTTAAAAAGTGTGTCATAAGCCTGTATCCTGTTGACCTACACTCCCCAAATTGCTTATTGATTTTTTCATTTTTGCATATTTTTAAATATACTTTCTAAGCATTAAAGCTTCTTTGCTATTTAAAATCTTATCTGAGGAGTAGATATATTGGGTTTGTGGGAAAGTTCTGTCGTTTTTGCTTTTGTACAATTGTACTTATCTCCCAAATATGAATACAGCTAATAATGAATCATCGATTGTTTTTGTTTTTATCCTTGTGGATTAGAGTATAAAAGGATGTCATCACTAGCTGTATTTGTGTTTGGGAGATGAGTCCAATTGTACATAAACAAAAATGACAGAACTTTCCCACAAACCCAATAATAACAGTAAAACGTCTTTTTCATATAATAATAAAACTTACGCAAGAAGCTCAACGTTATTGAAAGATATACTTAAGATTGAAGGGATTTAGATCCCCTGATCTTGTCTTTTGGATAAGTAGCTTCCCATCAAAATATTGCATCAATTTTTTTATTAAGTGGATGTGATTAGATCCCCTGATATGCCATAACTGTGATGGATATAGTTATATCCCAGGGCTGCTTTCAATGTGGACTTTGAAAATTATCAACCCTTATTTTTTGTGAGATATGCAGTTGACGTCAAGCTTTCTGAAAGATGTTGCTTTCCTGTATTGTTTGTGTATGAAGGTTGCATGCACTTCATCATTTGAGACTGACTTTTTTTTCATTGGACTCAGACAATCATCCATATGTGTCAAGTGGAGAACATAATATTTGGTTTTGTGAATGGCCACCATTCTTTCATGCTTGGAGCAGAGATATGTTGACCTATTGTCTGTCATGCTTCAGATGTCAGGCAACAATATCTTTATTTCATTAATCTAGAGGAAGGTAGAATGAATGTGTCATGAGTGGAGCCAAGTAGCTGGTACTTATGTGGTTGCAGGTGGGTAATGGTGTTTTCCTTATTTCATACCAGACACTGGGTTATAAAAATTGTTAGATCTACTGGACAGGTTTACTTAGTAATTTGAAAATCAATGAAAATGAAGTTGGAAGTTCATTGACATGATGAAGTACATGGTATTGGAAGGTGAGTATTGAAATAGAAGCACCCTAACCCTTTTCCTGGCAATGGTGTAATATTACATTGACACCCTCAAAATGTTCTGATATCCCTGCCAGGGAAAGGGTTAAGAATTTTGAGCATCATCTAACTTTGCATGGAAGTGGGCAAATGTGACTCACCCCAGGAACCTTGAAGACATTTGAATGGTGTAAGTGATTCACAGAAAACAAGACCTTTAATGGGTGGCCTAAAATAGGGGTGATCATCAGCTTCAGCTGAGGAGTGGAAACTGCTTGAATGTTGCCAGAAGACAATTCCACATTCCCAGAGAGTTCATACCTGTACATTGCCAGTCTGACATTCTGAAGGATCTGATTTTCTTTTGCAACCTTGGGTCATCACTCGATTGGCTTTTTTTCTAAACTCTTTTGCTGGCAATGGGAAGTATGCTTCCAAAAAAAACATTTGACCCTCCCTGTGCTCTGGAGAGGCTGCACATACGAAAAAATTTTACCACAAAAGGGCTAAAGTCATTTGTTTTTATCAAGTACCATGCAGCAGTCCAGAGTGTCTGCTGCAAAAAGAGCAGCACACAATGTGCTACAAGTTTCTTTAGTCCATTTCTCTAGTTTCACAAAAATTGTGATGGCTTTCTGAATTTCAAATTCAGTTTTATCAGAGTCCTTACTTATTTTCACCTTGGAGATCAGAGTCCATTATGAAAATTCTTTTAAAAAAATCAAAACTGAAGACCAATAAGCTTGAAGTTTTGCCCATGCATCCCCAAAACCCAACACAAGACATCTAGGAGAAGTGACATTGTTCATCAAAGAATAATCAAAAGGAAAAGTAAAGAGCAAGTCTTGGAACTTAATTATCATTTTTTATATTTGTTAGGCACATAATGCAGTCTTTGAATTATGAACAATTCAATTGTTATGAGATATAAAAAGGAAGGGACTGTACACTTGACCCAGACTCCACACCAATGCATAGTCATCAGACATAGAACAGTTGTATTACTTATTATTACTTAGTTTTATAGGAAACCATCCATGGGCCCATGGATTGCCTATTTCCATGATTGGCTTAATATGTCGGCAAGATGTTGACTGAAATGTGTTTCACCTTAGTGTGAAACATGTGCTTCTTAGAAATCAGGTAGATCAGCTGTTGACATAGATTTGCTTGACCCTATTTGGACTTAAACCTGTGCTTCACAAGTAGTAACTCTGCAGTCCTATCCTTTCTGCCATAAAAAATGCAAAGTACATTGTTCAGGGTTTACTTAAATAGTCTGCAGGGGTCAAGTCCTAACACATAACTGCTGTAGGAACTCCTCTAGATTAAAGGCACTAGAATGGAATTGGCATGGGATACTATGAAATTCATGCATGCACTCAGTGGTGTTACCAAAGTCCAAACAGGGGAGCTGGATGTTTTTGTTTGCTCTCATAGCTAATATGGGTGGGCAAAAAAAAAAACTACCAAAACTACAATATAATTAGGAATAATTTGATTTATTTATGCACACATGTGAACTGTATTTGGCCTGATCCCTAGCCTCAAAAATGGTGTTTGACAATCCATACACACTCCTCAACAGAATATTGAGGCATGATAATTATCAAATGTTGCCCTGAAATGAAAAAAAAATATATATATGTAAGATAAGATAAGATGTATAAAGATGCTTGGTCATTGGCAAATAAGTAATATAAATAATGTAGTTGACAAATTTGGATTGAATTGAGTCAATGGGGCTGGAACAAGTGTTTGTGGTGATTTCATTCCTTGCCTCTGTTGGCTACACCGCTGCAGTTAGACTTTGTAACAGAAGAGTAGCATTTATTTGCTTTTCTTTATCATGTGAATACTGTCTAGTTTCCTTCTCCATTTCTTATTCATTTATGAATTACGAAGATTTTCAGTGAAGCAAGTGTTCAGGTGGTGTTTTGTCTCTGAAAAGTAGAGGTATACTATGCTGGCTCCAGATTTAATTATTATTTCTCCAAACCAGGTAAACTGTAGATGTGCACTATGCAATGGAATTCTCTTCCAGTGGAGACATGACAGGAAAGTTCAAATTTGCCATCGATAGGGGTGGCACCTTCACAGATGTGTATGCACTATGTCCCAGTGGAAAAGTACGAGCATTGAAGTTGTTATCTCGAGACCCTGCTCATTATCCTGATGCTCCGCGGGAAGGAATACGACGAATTCTTCAAGAGGTTAGTCGTAGTATCAGAGATTTGCCCTCATGATGTTGTTGGGGTGACTTGAAGAGCAATTAGCAATAAATTAGTCTTAAAATGCTGTATGTCATCCTTTTCCTATTTCATTTTTATGCATTCCATCTACAAGAAAACAGGAGTGCATATAGTGATTGAAAAACTATTGTCCATAAAATCGATATCAGTCAGACCTATCTAGTTGCAGGTGTTGCTTCCATTTTTGTCTGACTTTGAAGTATAACCATAGGCCTGCTGCCACACATTAAATACACATAATATGACAGGCTTTTCTGCTACATGTCTCATGGAAACCACTGTGCACTGAGAAGACACATCCATGAGATTAACACGTTGACGACCAGCCTATTTTTGCTTGTCCGCTGCGTGGGACCACGTGCATTTTTTTTGTCAAAAAATGCGTCCTGCCATCAGGACGCATGGTCCCAGAAAACATTTTTTTTTCCCGAGTTTTATTAAAATGTTGAATTTTTTGGAATTTTTATCAGTAATTACGAAATCATAATCTTCTGGAACGTTCTCAACAGTTCCAGAGGGTATTTAATTGATACATTGAATGACTAGGATCCTAATGGGATCTCCCATTCCAATCTCTTCATTGATTTTGAATAGCCCCAAGTTGCATTTTGGCCAATTCAAATGGGATTGACAGAGTCCTGTGCCTCACTAGTTGCTGAACTAGTAAGTGAATTGTACCTCACAATTATTAAGCTTGCTCTTCAGAGGCTTTGGAGTGAAATGGATTACCCTGTTGTCCTGCGAAAAATTGTGTTGCAGACACATTTCATCAGTTCACTGCTATCCAATGAAGTCTCTATGCATAAAATCCATGTAACATGTCTTGGACTCATTCATGACAGGTTTCTGACTTGTATATTCAATGGCCAGTTTAAAAATGTAGTCCAATCACTGTTCAGTTCCAGTTTTAGTTCAGTCGTAGTTCCATTTGTGATTTCTTTATGATAGAAGTCAACAAAACCACAGTGGAACTTCCATCAGACCAAAGTCTGAACTGAAACAAGATCTTAACTGCCTTGTTGAAATCAGGTAATGGTTGACTGGCCAAATGGTGAGAATTGTATTCATTGCTGGAGTGCTCCTAAAGGTAAAGGTTGAAAAGAGAGTAACATGATTGAAATGTACATGTTGTAAAAGCAACATGCCTCTCAGCTACAACTCAGCAATGTGCTGAGTATAGGGTGTCATAAACTCACTTTATGAATTTAAGAATATGAAGATGAGATGCATTTGCAATTGAGAGCAATTGATGAGAGCAGAGTATGTAGTAGCAACTTCATGTATATCAAAACAACTTTTTAAAAACAATTCCCATCTCAGCACTTGAGACCCCATGAGGGATTGAGGACTATTCATTCTGATGTGATATTCAAGCTCCCAGAGGTCTCCAGGGTTTGACAGAGTAATTTTGAAATGCCATTCTGTGATAATTGACTGGTCCTTGACATAAACTGATGAAAAAGAGTCTATCGAGGAGAATAGAAGAATTACTTTCTTATTACTGAATAGAAGGACCACTCTCCAAACACATGGATGACCATACATTTTCTGGGATCAATGCATGAATCAGTAAAAGTTCTGAATGCCCATTGCATTGATCTCCTTCCAGCAGCTTTGGTGATGTTTTAAATAATGAAGTGGATTCTGGGGCATCCTGTAGATGGATTATGCAATGACTCAAATATGTTAATTCAATTAAATTATCCTAGGTTGCATCATCTTAAAAGTTTAGCTATGACAGTTTTCTTGCAGAATTTTTCTTCTTGTATTCATTGTTCAAGACAAGCATTCTGATATACAGATCAACATGCTATCATGACATTTTACTTTATTAAACCTTTGTGATGGTGTGGTTTCATGGGGAAACCACCCTCTACTTATTTTTTTCCTTGGCTTTTGTTGGAAATCGTTTAACATTTCTTCTACCCTTGTGTTACTTGAGAGCCATATAACACAAAGAAAATCTACTTGAGTAAACAAAGCAAGAGATGTGACAGGTGGCAGGAAAGTTAGATGAGAAGCCATATAAGGCAAGGAAATTTTTTTTTAGTTTTTTCAGGATATGTGGTGAGTTATTTTTGCATTTCTGTTCTGTAGCACTAAAACTGATCCTCATTGCACCAAATGGATGTGCTCTGAATGTTATGTTGGTCTCTGCATATCATCTCTCAAAAACTGCTTTAACCTGTACCATCAGAAATGAATGTGTTGCTTGATTTCATACCATGGGGATTGCCAACTGTAAACACCCTATATTCAGTACTAGAAAATTGAATCTATTTTTTTGCACCATAATTATTCTATTTAACCCCTACCAAGCCTATATATCAATTTTTGCCGCTTTCCAACAAAGATTTACAAATTTGTGTCTCAAAGAGTTAAAGGAGGCCCACAATCATAAATTGATGGCACAAAAAAAGTTTTAAATGCAGAATGGGCCTCATAATGAATTAAGAGAGGAATGAACTTATACCTACTGCCCAAATTAATTATTGGAATAAAGTGTTTTTCCTTAGGAATTGAAGCAGCCTTTCCCTGAAACAGAACCAATTGATGGTTCCCATATTGAATGGATTCGAATGGGAACAACAGTTGCCACCAATGCTCTTTTGGAGAGGAAAGGTGAAAAAATGGCTCTTGCAATTACAAAGGGCTTCAAGGATCTGCTGTTTATTGGAAATCAAGCAAGACCTGCCATATTTGACTTGGTATGTTCAGCCTACAGGATTATTTTAAATGTTTATTGTCTGAGGAGGTACTGTTCTCATGAGCTATCCCAATCATATTCTCTTTAGGAGATAAAAATGCCTGAAATGCTGTACCAAGAAGTGATTGAAGTAGAAGAGAGAGTGATTGTTAATCAAGAAGGATGCAAGCTTGAAGATCGGTATCCTGAAGTGCAAGGTACAACTGGCGAGAAGCTCAAGATCTCTGGAGCACTGAATCTGCATGATCTAGAACATAAGCTTCAGGCAGTTCTAAAGCAAGGAATCACTAGTCTTGCTGTTGCTCTCATGCACTCATATACGTAGGTTTTTGCAGACCATTTTCCTGTCTACATGGAGCCATAGAGCATTTATACCTAATTAGATGAATCTATACAGGTTTCAGAAGCATGAGGAAGATGTAGGGAGGCTTGCACAGCAGCTTGGCTTCACTAATGTGTCTTTGTCTTCCCATGTGATGCCAATGGTGCGTCTAGTCCCTCGAGGGTTTACAGCTTGTGTGGATGCCTACCTCACACCTCTCATAAAAAAATATGTAGAGGTACTACATGGAAGTGTTCAAGACTTCCTTTTTTAACTATTTGATTGGTGTCCTGTTTTTTTCCAATAATTAACCCTATCACATTTCTTGATGCAGGAGTTCAAGTCGGGATTTGTGGATCAGCTGCAAGGTGTGACTGTTTTATTTATGAAGAGTGATGGTGGCCTTACACCCATGGACAGGTCTTATATATTGATTTTGTCCAAGCACCTTTTATATTTAATGTCAATGCATAATACAACTTTGTGTTTGGGGCTCTAGGTTTGATGGTTCCCGTGCAATCCTCTCAGGACCAGCTGGAGGTGTCGTAGGCTATGCTATGACTACATATGAGCGAGACACCAAGAAACCAGTAATAGGATTTGACATGGGGGGAACATCCACTGATGTGAGCCGTTATGCTGGTGAATATGAACTTGTCTTTGAGACAACAACTGGTGGAATCATAGTCCAGGCTCCACAGGTATTGCCCTTTATATATATATATATATATACATTTAAATAAATAAATAAATAAATCCTTCCATGGCACCTGCTGGTATTTTGGAGATATGAGGGGGGATGAACCACATCCCAGACCTCATACTCACCTAATTCTGAAGGACACGACGAAGGATGCTGGCCGTGCCCAAGATTGCTGTACGCTGGAGTGAGATTGCACACTCCAGCTTTCTGACATGTCCTTTGAGGTCTTTCAGGACAACGCCAGTTGTGCCTATGATGATCGGAACTATGGTGGTCTTCATTCCGCACAACTGTTCCACTTCCACTCTCAGTTCGGAGTATTTTTCCAGCTTCTCCCTGGTCTTCTCTTGGAGGTTGTTATCGGCTGGGATGCTCACATCTACGAGGAGGGCGGTCTTCTTCTCCTTATAGATCGTGAGGTCTGGCCTATTGCAGCCTATACTGCGATCTGTAATTATAGGCATGTCCCACAGTATCTTGGTGGAGGTGTTTTCCACAACAGACTCTGGCTGGTGTTCATACCACTTCTCTGGGACTTCCAGGCCAGCATGCTTTGAGACACACCAATGCACATATTCGCACACTTGGTCGTGTCTGTACAAATACTCCCTCGGGGCTAGTTCGGGGCAGGCACTGAGGAGGTGGTGAACCGTTTCGGGTGGTCCATGACAGCATCTACAGCGGTCTTCCACATCCAGCTTCAGGATGTGCTTCTCGTAGTTACGAGTTCTAATGCACTGGTCCTGAATGGCTAGGATGTTGCTCTCTGTCTCGGCATTCAGCANCAAAAGATCAAATACTTTTAAAAAATGCTAGGGATTTAACTGTTGCAAATAGATGTGGTTTGCAACCCAGTGACCTTCAAGGGTTCCTGATCTCTCAGTAATGGTGAGTGAAAAAATTTTTTTTTTCTGGAATTCATAATTCAAAACAAGAAACTACTACAATGACTTCCAAAATTTCAAGTCAGATGACTGTCATTCAACTTATGAAATTAAATTAGTTCACTCAATAAAATTTACTCTTAAATGCATTTAAAGCATGGTAGAAAATGTTCAGGGAAACTAACCTGATTTGGGATGTGCATGCCAAACAAACACATTACAAACACATTCTTAAATAGGTAGCAGCAAACACATTTGACCTGCCTTTAACACATTGGCGACAATGCGTCCTGATGCCAGGATGCAGATTTTTTTTCAATGAATACCCTCTGGAACTGTTGAGAACTTTCCAGAAGATTATGATTTCGTAATTACTGATAAAAATTCCAACAAATTCAGCATTTTAAAAAAACTCGGCAAAAAAATGTTTTCTGGGACCATGCGTCCTGATGGCAGGACGCATTTTTTGACAAAAAAAATGCGCGTGGTCCCACACGGCGGACAAGCAAAATTAGGCTGGTCGTCAACGTGTTAAACTAACCGATTCCCCATTCGGCGCATATCGCCCATTGGAAAACATGTACCAAATTTGTTTACCTTTAAACCGATCTGATTTCATAACGAGCATCAATTACTTGTACTTGTACCTGAATAAGATTATATCTGTCAAACCAACTACCAGAAGGGACAATTATGAAATAAAATCAGTTTAATTTTAACAAACTTGGGGTATGTCATCAATTGTTTCGGTCCAATTGATTCTTTAAGAGTCCATTAAGAAAAATGATGAGTTCAAGTTATAACCAAAAGTTGCACTTCACACAGTATTACACTGAAGTTATTTGATTAAATGAAGCAGGTGAATGTCACCCACTCTTTAAATTCCTATGATGGTTGAAGTTACCACTTTAACAAATGCACAAAGTAGCTCTGCATTGCATAACTACCTGCAGAATCATGACTCAAAAGGGAATTAATCAACTCATATGAACAAAAATCACTCACTTCTGTGAGGTTTCGAATTGGCCTGCACATGGTCTCATTAGCAACCTTAACAAAACCCAGAGCCAGCTCTTCAACAGACATTGGATGACACTTTGTGCCTTGTAGGGTTGCCTGTTGTTTTCTGAAGTCATTCACCTATAATGAACACAGCATCATCATGTTTCCATGAGTGTGAGGACCTGGCAGGTGAGGCCCATGGAATTCTGATGATTTTTTCACCAAAATGTTTGTGTTGTCATTGATTTGCAAAAGATTCAATAGGGATGCCCAAAACCTTAGACTAGGTACCCCCATTGCCTTAACTATCATCATAGGCATTTAATAGATGATTCAATGGGTTTGACTTAATTCACAATGTCAAGTGTTACAGGTCAGAAACCTCTGTTATAAGATATATGATTAGCTGGCAAGCCATCTGCAGTCACTCAAGCAAGCAAGGTTTCCACATTTGAAATGAGATGGCATTTGAATTGCCTCTGTAGTGATTCATTACCTGATCCAACTGAAATAAAATCCTCCTTAGTTTTTAATAGTGCTTATTTTTTCCCCACATATAGCATTTTAATGCCTCAATTCTTGTATCTGAAGATATAACTTAGCCCTTGGAGACTTGGAGTCTACAAGCAATTTTAGGCCCAGAGGATGGAGGGATCATAGTCCAACTCCAATCTGACAAAACCTAATTATCTCTTGACATATAAGTTCCCCCAAACCAGAGTTTGAGAGAGCCTAGGCATGACTAGTCATGATGTTATAAAAGTAAATGGCAACCTACATGTTGATAAGCAAGTTAACTGTAATATCCCAATAATTGTAAATAGCATTTACAAGTGATATCAACTTTAAAAAAGGTTTTCTTTTTCATTTCTTATCATTATGCACTATGTTTTTATATCAGTTATGTATTGTGGCAAAAGTGGTGCTTTTAAGAAAACTTATACATCTCTCTCTTTGGCCTTCCAGCTTGATGTGAACACTGTGGCAGCAGGAGGAGGCTCTATGCTCACCTTCAGATCTGGCCTGTTCTGTGTTGGTCCTGAATCTGCAGGGGCACATCCAGGTCCAGCATGCTACCGCAAAGGAGGACCACTTACCATAACAGATGCAAATTTAGTATTGGGTCGTCTTCTACCTCAGTACTTTCCCACTATTTTTGGCCCACTAAAGAATGAACCATTGGATGCAGCAGAAAGCTATGAGTTGTTCAAGAACCTTTGTGACGAAGTAAGTACAAGGGTAATGTTGGTTTACATGACCATTCAGTGGAACCATGACTCATGGTAATGATGCTGTGTTCATTATAGGTGAATGACTTCAGAAAACAACAGGCAACCCTACAAGGCACAAAGTGTCATCCAATGTCTGTTGAAGAGCTGGCTCTGGGTTTTGTTAAGGTTGCTAATGAGACCATGTGCAGGCCAATTCGAAACCTCACAGAAGTGAGTGATTTTTGTTCATATGAGTTGATTAATTCCCTTTTGAGTCATGATTCTGCAGGTAGTTATGCAATGCAGAGCTACTTTGTGCATTTGTTAAAGTGGTAACTTCAACCATCATAGGAATTTAAAGAGTGGGTGACATTCACCTGCTTCATTTAATCAAATAACTTCAGTGTAATACTGTGTGAAGTGCAACTTTTGGTTATAACTTGAACTCATCATTTTTCTTAATGGACTCTTAAAGAATCAATTGGACCGAAACAATTGATGACATACCCCAAGTTTGTTAAAATTAAACTGATTTTATTTCATAATTGTCCCTTCTGGTAGTTGGTTTGACAGATATAATCTTATTCAGGTACAAGTACAAGTAATTGATGCTCGTTATGAAATCAGATCGGTTTAAAGGTAAACAAATTTGGTACATGTTTTCCAATGGGCGATATGCGCCGAATGGGGAATCGGTTAGTTTAACACGTTGACGACCAGCCTAATTTTGCTTGTCCGCCGTGTGGGACCACGCGCATTTTTTTTGTCAAAAAATGCGTCCTGCCATCAGGACGCATGGTCCCAGAAAACATTTTTTTGCCGAGTTTTTTTAAAATGCTGAATTTGTTGGAATTTTTATCAGTAATTACGAAATCATAATCTTCTGGAAAGTTCTCAACAGTTCCAGAGGGTATTCATTGAAAAAAAATCTGCATCCTGGCATCAGGACGCATTGTCGCCAATGTGTTAAAGGCAGGTCAAATGTGTTTGCTGCTACCTATTTAAGAATGTGTTTGTAATGTGTTTGTTTGGCATGCACATCCCAAATCAGGTTAGTTTCCCTGAACATTTTCTACCATGCTTTAAATGCATTTAAGAGTAAATTTTATTGAGTGAACTAATTTAATTTCATAAGTTGAATGACAGTCATCTGACTTGAAATTTTGGAAGTCATTGTAGTAGTTTCTTGTTTTGAATTATGAATTCCAGAAAAAAAAAATTTTTTCACTCACCATTACTGAGAGATCAGGAACCCTTGAAGGTCACTGGGTTGCAAACCACATCTATTTGCAACAGTTAAATCCCTAGCATTTTTTAAAAGTATTTGATCTTTTGCATGTTTTGGTAGAGGTATGTGCAAAAATGAAATACTGTTGAAACCTGCCAGTAGCAGATTTACAGATGTTGAATTTTGAAGTAATTGATCTTAGCTACATAATAATTTTTAATTGTAGAAGAAAGCTTTCTCAGAGGAGAATTCATTCATGATTGCTTTCTTGTGGGATATTTTTGCATTAATATGTTATTATACCTGAAATGTGAGAGCCAAAAGTCAACCATGTTTGCCCTATAGCCGGTCACAGCTACACCAAAGTTAACACTTTGCTGTTCACGCCATATGGCATGTTCAGTGCACCGAACCTCTGCTGCCGTTCACGCCATATGGGGAGTTCAGCGGGGGAAAAGTGCTTTGCAAAGAGAGTATGGCTGGACATTTCAATCTCCACACAGTGGGTTAGCAGGCAATAATAGCCAAAAAAATCAGTGTCTCAGAATTGTCCCAAAAATTTCCCACAAACATAGAAACTCAGACTCATGAAAATGTAGTAATATTTTTTAGATGGGGCGAACAAAAATGCCATTCCAATGCTGTCAAATTGACAACATTGAAATTTTCCTCAATATTGTCAAAAATCCTACCAATTTTTGAAAAAAGTGAACCATGAAAAAATGTGTTAATCTCTCTATGGCTTATACCCCAGAGTGAGGTAATGTCCTAACAAAAATGATGCATTATTTGCAGCTGGTGATCACATCCCCTGTGAATCACAAGGGGGTAATTCCAGGGATGGGTGAAAAATGTGTACTTTTCTGACTTTTCAGGGCTGTATCTTTTTTTGCACTAGACAGCACTATTCTGCTTCTTCCCAGAAGTTGGTACTTGTAATAAAACTGTGGGCAGCTTATTTTCAGCAATTTGTAGCAACATGATTGACAAAAGACTGTTCATGTGTTTCATAAATGGGTACTTCTGGAATTATGAACAAAATGGCACATGGGATCTACTTGGCTGCAGGAAAGAGTAAAAATTTGGAATAACGAGATTGATTTTCCAAAGATTTGAGGTTCAAATCAGTGAAACATTGTATACTTCCTTGAAAACGTCTTGATCGAAGATTTCTGCCTGTGCCACTATATTATTGCCTGACCCACTTTGCCCCAGTAGTCTTGATGTGTTCGGGGCAGCAAACCTCCATTGCCATTCTGAAAAGTGCTTGGCAAGGAGAGGTTGGCTGGACATTTCAATCCTCAGCAGTCAGTGTTAAAATCCAAATTTTGGTTTAACTTTAAAGCAATGGTTCTCAATTTGTGGATCTCTTTCAGAATAGAAGTGAATTGCTTGGACCACCTCCACTATAATGTAAATTTGTAAGCTGCTAGAATTAATGGATTTGTTTTGAAAACTAGTTTTAAAGTTGGCTGAAAGGTGCTTTCTTTTTTTAAATTTTTTTATTTGAATTTTCATTTTGTCTGTAATTCATTTTTTGCCTGGGCATGGTTTTGAAGACCCTCTGGTCAAGAAATGCAGTTTTAAATATGTATTCTTTCCAGAGTTGTTCTTGATGACTGATAATACCTTATTAGTTTCATCATAAGCATTTTCCATAAAACAAATGCACCAAATTAAGTTTAAAAAATATAGTATTATGCCTCATTTTAATTCCTTGACTGCTGAATTTTAAAGAGTTCAACACTTGCCCCCCTTACAAAAAGATCCTATAGGATCCTATGAGATTTTTTAAACATAAAAATCTAATAGGATTCTTATAGGATCCTATAGGATTTTTCCATAAGGGCCCACACTGAGTTTTTTTTTCAAAACTTCAGCCCCTTGACAACATAGTGGCTTTTAAGGATTGTAAATTGATTTCCAGCAGAGAAATGTAATACTATCTGCAGCCCAAGAGAAGTAGTACTACCTACATACCACTTTCAACCAACACGAGTATATACAGGCCTGGTACCTGGGGATCAAAGTTTGAAAATGAGTATACTTGGGCTTGGCAGTCAAGGGGTTAAATCCATGAATCTGCCTGTAACATGAGAGAAACTGTAATATTTACATATAGGCACAATATAGTACCTCTTAGAATGCACTTAGAAAGATAAACCTGCTATGGAACTAAGTTATATTTGAAGATTAGTTTAAGAGAAAGACTGAATCTCTTTGGTGGGGATCACAAATCAGTTCAGTAATGAGTCTATCTCATTTTTTTATTGCATTTGCCCAAAATCAGATCCATTTATCTCCTGAACAGATGTGGTGCAAGTCATCCAAATGTTTCTTGTTGTTTGCCTCTCAGAACCTATTTAACTGACTTGACTTTAATCCTGTAGATGTTCATTGTGATGGCTAATTAAATTAGGTTAAAGAAATCTCATGCTTGCTATCCAATATTTTCACCCAGGCAAAGGGCTATGATACAGCAGATCATGTCTTGGCATGCTTTGGAGGTGCTGGTGGGCAGCATGCTTGCTCCATTGCTCGATCTTTGGGAATGGCTTCAGTGTTTGTTCATAAATATGCTGGAATCTTGTCAGCATATGGAATGGCACTGGCAGATCTTGTTCTTGAAGCTCAAGAGCCATGTGCCAAATACTACAAGCCTGGTAAGTAGTGTGAATCTATTAATATTTGTAACTGCGGAGTGAGTGAACTTATATTACATGTTCAAAATGATTGGTATAGACCTTTGACTATGATGGAATATTTTTGTACTGTCAGTGGATCCATACTATTCCATGCTGTGATATTGTTTTTACCCTGCAGAGAACTTTTCCTTTTTTGATGAGCACTTGCAGCATCTGACTGCCCGATGCATTAGCCAGTTGGAAGGACAGGGATTCCATCATGAACAGATCACTGTTCAGTGTTTCCTCCATATGAGATATGATCGCACAGATTTTCCTCTGATGTGTCCTCCTTCAGAGAAGCAAGAGCTGCCATCTCCAGATCATGGCGATTTCCTCACTGGTTTTCAGCAGCGGTATGCTATCTTCCTCTTCTGCTGGTATTCTTTGTGCATTGCCTTGCATATAGTTCATGCAAAATGCTAGGCTAGCTGGATTTTATGGCAAAATGGTTCAGGCTTCTGAGTAAATTCAGGAGGCAGGGGATCAAGTCAAGGTGGTAGCAGACTCTTTTCCCACTGACATGTGACCCACCTGTTTTCATGAAGAGTGTCTGCTTGATGTTGTGGTAACACATGAGCCACTTTATGTACCACATCTAGGAGATACAGGTGCAGTACACCTTAAAAATCACCTTCTCCAGACTTAAGCCTAAGCGACCAGTGAGCTGCCCCTTATGGCAAGATTGTGGAGGGTAATTTTTTTATTTAAAGAAAAAGGCATGCAGAAAAAAGTTTTAAATTTCAAGACTATCCCTTCCCTTTTAAGTGATGCTAAAATATTATAAATATGATCTCAGCTTTGAAACAAACCTTTTGAAAAGGTATTAAAAATAGGACTAAATACTATGAGGGCCTCTCATGAAGTTGCAACACTTCGTCTTTTTCTGATAGGCCTATATGATAATGCCTCCAGCCTAAAGCAGACCAACATATAAATGCCCTTTGTTAGATTTTATTAAATGACTGCCATTCTCAGCTGCTGTGCATCACATTGAATGTAATCAAAAGTAACTTTGTTGCTGAGCATTGGGCCATGACAAAGTTCTTGTTGAATGGAAGTGTGAACCCTGCCAAAATTTGCAAAAGGCTCATAAAAATGTTTGGAGACAGTGCCTTTGTCAAGGTAAGCAGTGTAGAACTAGAAAGAACATTTTTGCTGGTGATCATGTGAGCATCTTCAATTAAGAGTTTTCAGGATGACCTAGAAAAGCAGCAAATCATAATAAAATTTATCTAGTGGATTTACTTGGAGCAACTGTTTAAGATAGCCTAAATGTAGGATAAATTTTGGAACTTCCTCCTAACATTTTATGTCTTCAACTATGAAGAAACTTCAAGAGGCAAAGCAAGAATATCCATGAAGAGAAGAATGGATATTGTTATGTGGTGCCAAATCCTTTCTGCATTAGGTAGTGCATTGGATGGATCAGAATAGCCACTTCCATGTGGGCATGCTGACCATTGCAGTTTTTTTTTTCCCATTGATTTGTCATGTGATTGAGGGGTGAAAAAAAAATTAATATCAGTCCCTCAGCAGATCTTCAGTCATAGACTTGGCTTGATCAAGCCACAATATGTGGAATGAGTGAAAAAAGGCTGAGGAAAATGGCTATTCTGAACCATCTGATGCACTGGACACTTGAAACAATTGGATAGAAGGACTTATATTGCTTCTCAAGTATCCAGTTTGCTACATGTTTCTTCATTCCTCGTGAGTCCTGCTTAGTCTCAAAAATGATATGATGAATGTCTTTCCAGGTATAAGAGGGAGTTTGGATTTGTGATACCTGACCGAAGGATCATAGTGGATGATCTGATGGTTCGTGGGTTTGGGAAAACACTTGTTCATACTCATGAAGACATCCCTGTTGCCACACAGCCTCCCCAACTTGAAGCAGTATGTTGGTGTTGTTCTCATTGTATTGCTATCCACATGTAGTTTGCTTGTAAATGTTACAGTGAAGTCCTAACACTAGAAGGCATCAGCAAGACCATAATATGACCCCTTGGAGCCTGTAGCCAGAACTCAGAGGCCTGTTCTGCCCCTGTGCTAAATGGATGTGCTGGCCATTGAAAGCCTCAGCCTCAGCCAGAGAGAGGGGGGGGATAGGATTCTTTGCTTATGATAATGTCAGGGAGCCATTCTGCTATAAAAGCATGAGTTGTGGCTAGCTGGAGTTACTTTGTCTTTGTGTGTGCACCCTCTCTTTCCTTCCCCCTTCCCCAACTCACATTCATCATTTGCCCTTGGCATTATGCACACTACAGGGTGTCCATAAAGTAACTTTACATAATGATTTTTTTCTCGTTGCGAACTGAAATTTTACACTGACAGTCTTAAAGAGGACTAAATTCTTCATTCTGGAACACTAATAATATTAATTTTTTTCCATCCCAGGTACCTAAAAAACTAATATTTTGACAACTGCTGAAAATGCTCAGTTTCTTGCAAGAAACCACTAGAGTTTCAGCTCCTGGAGGGATATTATTTGTCCTTTATTTTCACATCCATATTTCATTACATGCAGATTGTCATTCATATAAACATGAAACAAGCTGAGTAATGATTATTTCTAAAGAATTTACTGATTTTGCACTTCACTTCATCCCTCCTTCCCTATTATTCCCTGAAAATGCTGACAGAGTGGTGATTCACTGTGAAAAAAGGTAGGTCAACTGCTTGCAAAAAGAGTATTTAATATGGGTAACTTGAAGCATAATATTTATCCAACTCAAAGGTAACATTAGAATGCAAGGGAACCAGTTCAAGTTCCATGAACCCCTGGTGAGACTTATGTTGCAGAATTGCTTCATTATTGTAGGAGGGTAAAGCATGGAGTGCATTAAATGATGATGGAGTAGCTGCCCCTTCCATGACTAACTTTAAGGAGATGCCTTTGTGGACTATACAAAAAAAGGAACAATGTAACTGTTAGTGAACAGGCAGTGGGCAGATATGCTCTCACAAAAATATTTATCTTTTTGTATGCCCCTCTTATTGTTAATGAATGCATTACCTTAACATGGGACATCACAGTGAGTGAAAGTGCCTCTTGGAATCCCTACTTGCACCTTGAAACTTTAAATCTCAATTCCAATATTCTAGTGCCTTATGCTAAAAGTTTTTGTGCTACCTTTTGCACACATTATGGTAATATAACCCCTCTGGAACATGTCTTGATTTCAGTGTGTCACTGTCTGCCTTCACTCCATTCAAAAATTATTCCTTATTTTTTCTTATGTAGGTGACTCAGGTGTTCTTTGATGATGGCTTCCAAACATCCCAAGTGTATTTGCTGAAGCATCTGAAGGCTGGTCACAAGATTCCAGGTCCAGCAATCATAATGGATGACCTTTGCACTATTGTTGTTGAACCAGATTGTGCAGCAGAAATCACCAGATATGGAGATGTTCATTTGCATATTGGCAGTGATCAACAAAGGAGGATCAGCACAGTTTTAGACCCTATACAGTTATCCATCTTCTCTCATAGATTCATGGGTATTGCTGAGCAGATGGGTAGGTAAGTAACCAGTGACTCATTAACCTCTCCCATTAGTAGCCCTAGTCAGACAGTTCTTGGCTCATGCATTTGTGTGACTGAGATGTGTTGTTCCCAGGATTCTCCAGCGAACTGCAATATCTACCAACATCAAGGAAAGGTTAGATTTCTCTTGTGCTCTCTTTGGTCCTGATGGGGGACTGGTATCCAATGCCCCACACATCCCAGTGCATCTTGGTGCTATGCAAGAAACTGTTCAATTCCAAGTGAGTCAGAATATATGATGAAAAGCCCTTTCTCTGAATGGGTTTTCATATGAAAGTTTATCAAGAACTTCCCAATAATTTTTTATTTTCCATCACACAAGAACTATTACTTTCATATCCCTTCAATATGCTCTCCCTCATCAGTCACTTATTTAGAGGGAGTGGTCCTACCTTTTCCAAAAGTGAGCTAAAGTAAAAATGTTTAATATCTAGATGGGCCACAGATATCTGTGGATAGACCACTTATCCTTGTTGATAAAAGCATTCATGGGACATCTTAGTTTGTGAGTAAGGCTAAGAGAAATGAAGAAGGGAAGGATCAAAAAGAGCAGAAGCTTTATCCTGGGCCACTACCATCCTAGATGGTTGGCTAATGTCAAACAAAAGGGGCTCAGGTCTCATTTGCAACACCCATCTCAGAAGTGCTTTGGACATGATTGCCATTGGATTTATGAAGTGCTACCAGAATCTATGTAATAGGGCTCTAAGGTGCAAAAGTTTGGCTTGATTAGTTTGGAAATGTGTCTAATTTAGGTAATGCCATTTTGTCCAGAACGGGTTGTTCAGACATTCTAAATCTGCCTGGAATTAATCAAGAGTTGTGGTTTCGTGATCAGTTTTGCCATTTTTTGCATGTAAAGATACTGAATAGTACTTGACATCCTGGTCAAGTTCTGAATGTGCAAGATACTCTTTTCCTGTATGCCCTGATTTGAGGAGTATTTGCCTTGTGGCAGATTTGCTGTTTTGTTATCAGGCAAGGTTTAAAATGTCATTATTTCAAGTTCTTAAATCAAGGCTTGATGGAAGGGAGCATTTTGCCTAACCAGGATATCATAATGTATCACTTCATAGTTGAGAAGTCTTTCTCGGTCTGAGTCGCATGAGTGCTTTGATAAGTGGCTGGTTCAGATACAGTGTTGTGTGACAGTGGGGAGTTTGTTGACAGAATGTAAAAAGTGTTGAGCTTTTTAATTTCAATAAATACAAAAATTATTGCCAAAACATATTGATCATCCTTTGTAATTCACAATTAATGAAGCATATATGATTCCAGCCATAGGGTGATAGGGATGTATTCTATATTTATTGCAGATGAGGCACCGAGGTGATGACATTAAAGAAGGTGATGTCTTCCTAACAAATCACCCTGTTGCTGGTGGTTCCCACTTACCTGATTTGACTGTCATCACCCCTGTGTTCTACAAGTATGCATCTTGCTCATGTACTGCAAGGCTACCTTTGTTAATTATTTACATGGCCAATACATATACCACTCTCATGGAAATCTTTCACAGGAACATACTGAAGCCTGTGTTTTTTGTGGCAAGCCGTGGTCATCATGCTGAAATTGGAGGAATCACTCCTGGCTCAATGCCTCCACATTCCAAATCCTTAGAGGAAGAGGGTGCAGTTTTCATCAGCTTCAAACTGGTTGACAAAGGTATATTCCAGGTAAAAAAAAGTCTGACATGCCAGGCATGCCTTCACATATTTTATTCTTCAGGCAGACAAGCCATCATTGAGAAATGCACAGATGAGTAGGATGAGAACCTGTGAACTGGGAGAATAGTACAAAACAAAGAAAAGGGAGAAGGGGGAAGAAAAGCATGGTGGAAATGATAGACAAGACCTTAGAGAGTGGGAAAAAAAGACAGTGGCAAAGTTTTTATGGGAAAAGTCTTAGACTCAGGAAGTTATCTATAAAGTAATGTCATGGTGATGCTACCATTATATCTCCCACAAAATGAAAAGGGAAAAATTCCATCCACAAAAATTGAAGGACTTTCTCTGTCCCAAAGGTACTCTTGTATTTTAATCATTTCTGGAAAACCATGTGTATTAGAGTTAAAAATCACTCTTCAAGGTCATTTTTTATTTATATATCATTTCAATCACTAATGGGAGAAAGTTTCAATGCATAATTAAGAAATTACACATTACGTTCAGCATAGATGCCAAAACAAAAAGTGAGTTATTAAAAGAACATCTGAATAACACCAAGTAGAAATTAATCTCACTTTGAAGGCTGGTTCCTGAAGTCCTTGACATATTCTTGGTATAGCATGCACAGAGGGAAAAAACTTATCTGCCTATTCAACATGTGCATTGTTGAGGAGTAAATGGCTCAGTTTATTTGCCAGTATGATTTGCTGCTGAACTGAACAAAAGGTTTTACTCAGAAAGATTCAATGGTAAAGTGACAATAAATATTTGTGCATCAATTGAAAGCTGTTCATACAGTTATGGCTTTCATGAGTGCTTGCCTTAACCCTTTTTTAAGGAGTGGGGATTTTTAGCACCTGCAGGATCCCTTGTAGTGAATATATGGAGGACAGGATAACATCTGCCTGTAAATATACAGGCATTAGTGGCCACAGCCCACTACACTGGCCATCTAATGGGCAGAAATGTGAAAATGTTTACATAAAGATATGAAGCAGTTCAGTTCTAACTAAACATTACATATTTTCAAACCTCAAGATGTTAGAAATTGTTGGCACCCAGCTAATTGTATTTTCATTGAGAGCACACCTCACAAATGAATCACAAATGGCCTAGCCTATGACACAGAATGGCAGAGCACTGTAGGCACTGCATGATAGGAGTGACAGCCACCGCAACTTTTGGCCTCTTTCCATTAAAGTATTAGATACTCCACAAAGGGTTAAGGCTCACCTAGCTAATGCCTGTACTTCCCTTTCTTCCCTTGTCTAACAGGAAAAAATTCTCATTTCTGCTATGACACAATAGTCTTCTCTGGGGTGTGACTGCAAAAAAGACCGTTGATATTGAACCTGTACATTTTTGCTCATATTGGTTATGCATGGAATATGCACAAACCAACAAACTTCTGAAATTTAATGCAAATTAGATTTGCTAAAACAAGATTATGAGTATTTGCTTCAAAGAATTATAAAATTTAAAATGGACCTGAGCCCATGCTGCTTGGATGCTGGAAATATCTTTGTTTTGGATGCATAACAAGTTGGTCAATATAACATCTCTTCTCCTAAGACTCATTCTTTTGGCTGACCCGTTGAATATGGTTTGTTTTCCTAATTAAGACTAAGGATTCAATCAGTGTCAATAAGGAAAGCTCAAGTTTTCTCCACATTTTTAAGCATTTTTCTTTGGAGAAGGTGGTAGGTGGAATCTCCTACAGACCTACACCCATAAAATTGCATTGCTGAGACCATGGGAATGTATAATATCAGGGTAGCAGGGGAGGATCAGCCAGGCACTGTTACTTGAGCCTTCCTCTCTACACAGCCTTTTGTTCTCCCCTTTTGACATGGACTTATCCATTAGCCATTTTCATTCTAAATTATGTGCCAGTATTTATGTGAATGGCAAATTCCCTGAGCAGGGATTCTCACCCAGAAAATAATATTTACTGGAAATGGAACTATTACTCTTAAGAAGACTGAGGAGATTGAAACTCCCCTGTTCATATTTTCTTATTTTGTGTAAATATTTGCTCATAGCCTTGGATTTGAATGAAGTTTCATGAATCCATTGAGCCTTGCACATTTCCAGCCTTTCCACAATACATGTTTATTTGAAGTGAGAGATCTGTGGATTCAGAAGGAAGGGTCTATTTTTGTTGTACCCTGTGCATTGGCATAGACAAGCTAGGTCTTAGCATTCATTTAAACCTAGATGCATATCCTATCCTGTTTCCTGTTTGTCATGGCACAACAAGAATATACAGTAATCCCTCGCCAACCACGGTTTCGAGTATCCAAAATGTATACCCTTTTACCAACCGCAGTATGAGGTTTTGGGTATCCACAGTTCCAGGGACATACTCACTATTTTTTTGCTGCAACAGTTTTTCTTAAATCTGAATTACCTTGATGTATTTTAACAGAAGAATATTTATACTTACTATTTATGAATTTATTTCATTGTGCTACCAAAGTGTCTACTGAAGGGGTATTAAAATTTAGATGAATGCTGTGAGGAATTTTTAGAGGGCCACTAGGACTCTATCCTCTCAGTCTCTGAAAGATCTGCTGTTAGGTCGGCTCCTTAGAGGTTAGGAAATTCCTCATAGCATTTGTCTCAATTTTAATACCCCTTCAGCAGACCCTTTGGTAGCACATTGGGAAAATATTCATAGTAGCTATCCTTAATCGACAAATAAGATGATATTTTGCCAGTTACCATCAAAGACATCTGTCTTCCCATGATAAGAATAAGAATGGTGTATTGCAGCTGGAAGTGCCTTGGTCTCAGAACTTTTTGACCACCTCTCATATGTTCCCAAAAGGCTTCAAATTTGTATCGACCAAGACAGCAGACATATTGAGCACCTGAAGTGAATTTTTCTGCTGCATTTTTTTTCTTGTAAATGTACTTCCAAAAAATAAAAATAGCTCATAGATCCATTGAACAGGGTTTGTTTCTATTAGAATTTAAATGTGTTCATTTACTTAGTGCCCACCATGTATTCTTGAAAGTGGGTTCCCCTAACCCACTATTTGCCATAAGCCATAGGTTTTACCAACCATGGTGTTTTTCAGGTCCATTACCCCCGCGGTTGATGAGGTATTACTGTACTTGTATCTTTCCCTGTGACTCCTTTTAAGTTGGGTTCATCCATCTTACAGGAGGAAAGGTTAAGAGAAGCTTTTGATGCTCCAAGAAAGTATCCTGGCTGCAGTGGATCTAGGAACATACGAGACAACATTGCTGATCTTCAAGCCCAGATTGCTGCAAATCAAAAGGTTGACTTAAAGAAGTCTAAATTTCTCCTTTTGTTCTTAATTGCCATTATTAGAGCCATGAATTAACTTGAACTATTGATTTTTTCTGGACAGGGCATCACATTGGTGAAGGAGTTGATTGATACCTATGGGATAGATGTCATACAGGCATACATGGGGCATATCCAAAACAATGCAGAGGTAGCAGTACGAGAAATGCTTTATGAGATGGGACAAAAGAGTCTTGAGAAAACTGGCTCTGCTGTTTTGGAAGCACATGACAAAATGGATGATGGAACTGTGATTACCTTGAGAGTATCCATTAATCTTGATAATGGCTCAGCCCTATTTGATTTCAGGTTAGCAATGTCCTTAGCTAAAGAGAACCAGCTTTTGAACATAATATTTTGAGCAAGACCTTGAAGCTTCCTGCTTCCCATTTCAGTGGCACTGGATATCAAGTTTGGGGGAATTGCAATGCACCTAGGGCAATCACATTGTCAGCCATCATTTATTGCTTGAGAAGTATGGTTGGACATGATGTCCCCTTGAACCAGGTGCTCAATCTCTCTTTATCATGCATGTTTCATGCTTCCTCTTCTTTGCAAACCATGTGATGATTTTTTATGTTAAAGGGTTGCCTCTCTCCAGTGGAAGTTGTCATTCCAAATGGAACCATCCTGACTCCTTCAGAAGATGCAGCCATTGTTGGAGGAAATGTTCTCACGTCTCAACGGATAGTTGATGTAGTTCTAAAAGCCTTCAGAATCTGTGCTGCCAGTCAAGGATGCATGAACAATGTAACATTTGGTGATGAAACATCAGGCTACTATGAGACTGTAGCTGGAGGAGCTGGAGCTGTGAGTGAAGGTTTTAAGTTTTTCTTGAAAGCTTACAGTAGTCAAAGATGACAATTGAAATTTGGAAACTCTTGAACTAGCATTTATTAAGGAAATTTTCCTTTAAAATGAGTTTTTTAACATGTTCGCTCCTGCTGAGTGATTCTATCATGAGTTTTTTACACATGTGCTTCATCAGCAGCAAACATGTTAATGAAACACAAGTTCAGGAAATTCCTTTTTTTTATTGTATTACCTAACACATCCATTTATCATGAATTTTTACATTTTTCATGATGTGGTTTGCATGATGAGAGTTAAGAACATGTCTTGGCTCAACCTCATATACAGGGTGTTCATAGTTAGACACAAAATAGGGAATCCTTTGCCGCCTGTATGCGGAGTACCTTCGGCGCCTTAGAGCCCACCGGGTTGCATATCTGGAAGGATTAAACCTATCCCTGGTGTGTTTCCTTGCAGATATGCAACCCG